CAACAAGAGAGCCCTTTTTCAACTTGCATACTCCATTGCCAAACTGTGACTCATACCCTTCATCATCAAGCATTCCTATTGAGATGAGATTCAGTCTAAGGTCTGGAACATGTCTCACATCCTTGATGATCAACTTGTAGCTAGTATTGGTAGTAATGCAAACACCACCCATTCTAACAATTTTAGATACCCTATTATTTCTCATCCTTACCAAACCAAAGTCTCCCGACTTGTACATGGTAAAGAAATCTCTGTGTGAAGTAGCATGGAAAGATGCTTCGGAATAAATCACCCAATTTGAATCATCACATGCTGCACTAACACAACCTTCACCACACGTCGAGAAGATTATAATTTCACCGGATGCAACTGCAATGGTTGCCTGATGTTTTTTGTTTCCATTACAATATTTTCCTTCTTTTTGATCTCTTTTGAACTTTCAACACTCATTCTTCATATGTCCGGGCTTATTGCAATAGTAACATGTCACTCTTTTTTTCGACTTGGATCTCCCTTTTGATTTGCTTTGTTTATGATTTTCTCTATTCTTCGGTCTCTCCCGTTCTTCAGTGCTTAATGCGTGTAAGTGGGAGGAATCTGAAGGTTTTTTTCTCACTTCTTCATTCAACAAATACTTGTAACTTTGCTCATGGTAATAACCCTATCGGATCCCGAATTGCTAAGGGATACAACGAGGGTCTCTCAAGTGTCAGGTAATGAGCTCAACAACTACAATGCTTGCAGCTCATCATCTAGTACCATCTTCATAGCCGCCAATTGATTTACAATGTTCTGTATGTCATTCAAGTGCTCCACAATCGACCCGTTCTCCTTAAACTTCAAGTTTACAAGTTTGCTAATTAAAAATGTCTTATTTCCGACCGCCTTTCTCTCATACAAATTATGCAATTTTTTCCACAAGGAAATTGCATTGATTTCAGTTGATACATGGTGGAACATGGTATCATCAACCATTGGCGGATGGAAGCAATTGCTTTCCGGCCTAACTTCTTCCAATCATCATCAGTGATGGTGTCTGGCTTCTTCTCTATCCCCTCAGTTGGCAAATAGAGGTGTCTTGAATAGAGAAGGTCTTCCATCTTGGCCTTCCAAATTGACCGATTACCCCCATTTAACTAATCATCCATGTAGAGGTATTTGCATCCATCTTTGATTCATATACGAATAAAAACAAACACTTGATGTGTAAATGCTCTGATACTAGTTGTTGGGAAGCAATGCCCTTCCCTGTTATGTGTAAATCAAAGGTAAAAATATATCCACAATATATGTTTGTTCAAATACTGAAAATAGGCAATTTATTAAGTGCCAAGAATAATATAAATCACAAATCACAAAAGGGAAAGTTCTACCAAGCACAATCATAACACAAGGTTTAACTTGGAAAACCCTTCAATGTGAAGGAAAAAACCACGGGATAAATTCGAGAGAGGAATCTATTAAAATCAAATGAAGGTTACAATATGAGTTTCTTCTCAAGTTTTTGCCCAAAACTTGAGGCTTACAATTAACTGAGAGAACAACAATAACTTGGAAAAAGTACAAAGTTACCTCACAAGCACCAATAAGATCATCTCTTTTTCACCTCAAAAAAAGCGCCAAAAAATCTTCTAATGACTTGGAGATGCAACCAGAGAGCACATCAACTGATCTGGTTTTCCAGCTGAGTGTTGAGCGTGAGAGATAGCAAAAATGGCCTTTGGATGGCCTAAGAATAATGATAGAAACCTTGCTACAAACCTGCACTTTCTTCTTTTCAATAGCCTTCAAAGAACCCTATCTTTGCTTGTAAAGAGTGTGTCCAAAACAAAAAATCTTTTTTGTTTTGTCTTTTAAAACACCCTTTATGTTATCTCTCTTTCTCTAACCCTTTCTTATTTTTGTTGGGTTTTTTTTTTTTTCTTTCACTTCTTTTGAGGTTGGACCCTACAAGGTAATCACCCCAACACTTACTTTCAATTTTCAAACGACCAAGTTTGAGAAATAAGGTATCATTTTGAAATTCCTCCGAGTATTTCTCCAATGCAAAAACACAACACACTTCATAGACAAATCTATTTGTTTAAGTCCTTAGTCCTGCATACACAATCCAGGGGATCAGCATACCTACTTTAGTGCTTAGAAGAGAAAATATTAATTTGCATTATCCCAAAAAGAAGAAGAACAACCACTTTAATTTGCAACCAAGTCTTCTTCGAGTGCAATGTATACAATTTTCAGATCATATTTCGCTATGTTTGATTTCCTTCATGTTCTTCAGTGCCTTCAATCTCCATTGATAGGGTCCTATAATTTTCGTGTAATTGTCGTATAATTTTTGTTCGAAGAATGGCTTTCATCCACCATTTTTGTGCATGAAATGGAATGTTAACCTTCATATTATATGCAAAACAACACATGCAAGTCTGCCCTTCACCATCCGGACCTTGACTAAAACTTAGAAAGGGACAAAGTTGTGTAATATGGCTTTATTAACTTTCATATATTGTTATAGTTAGGGCTTCTCATATGATTTTTTGAGTTTTTTTTTTTAAGTTTATGTTAACTTTTTAGTCTTACTGAGGGTATGACTCTTGATAAAAAGAATTGTAAAATATGATTTATATAGCCAACCTCAAATCTTTGAAATAAGACTTGGATGATGATAATGATGAAAGGGTCCTATTTGCCTCATGCACATGGCATGTAAAATATATAGAGCAGCAATTTACAACCTATTCTTAATATGCTCAACGCAGATAGAACATAAAAGCGAGGCAATTGTTCGTTCTCCCGTAATGTGGCTTACTCTTTCTTAGGTTACGGAGATGATTTAAAAGAGTTCGTTCATTACATTACTACTCATTTGGTTGTACTTCCATAAAGGAGAAAAAATAATAATAATAATAATTCTATACTTCTCCTAATGGAAAAATGAGTAGAGACCATCCAAATTTTAGAGGTTAAGATCTAGGTTTTTTTAAAACACTCAAAATACAAAATTCGTGTTTTTAAGAAAATATAAGGTGATTCTTAGGTGTATCCCCCCTTATTTTTTATTTTTTGAGACAATACGTAAAAAAAAAAACTTTCTATACTTCTCCTATTGTATAAAAGTCAATACTTCCCCCCATCCAGCCATCTAATTTAGATTAAGCGAGCCACTAACCGTTTGATCTAGATCCGATGCCTCGGAGCATTTTATTTTTAGTTTTTTTATACAAATTATAAGAATGTGAATGTGAAATTTGGTATGTGTCATCATCTTAATGGGTCGCTCGTAAAACAAATATTACAAAAAAATTGATAAAATACAATGATCAAAATATCCTTAAAAATTTTTAGGGCATTTTGATCATTTTATTTTATTGAGAATTTTTTTCATATATGCTTTACAGGTGCGAGTTTAAGAGATTGGACGCCCAAAAATTTGGTGTCAAAATTTTTGTACAAAAAAAATTAAAAATAAAAGTGTAGAGGCATGACATTGTGATTGGAGTCGTCTCAATCGTCCGTTCATATTGGAAAGTTGGATAGGGAGAAGTACATAGTTGGATAGGGAGAAATATATAAGTTTTATACAGTAAGGAAAGTATAGAAAACTTGCCCATATATTATAGAGGATTAAGGTTGAAAATTTACCGAGTCCGTATCCAAAACCTGAAATTCAAATCCTACATGGATCCAAATATATATCCAAAATCAGATCAAGGTACAAGTGGATCCAATTCAAATTTGGGTCCAAATTTGAGCGGGAAAGCTGTCATTTGTAGAAAGATTGGGGCTCCATGCCAAAATCTCCATCTATATATCGTAGCGGAATCCCTAGCTCCAAAAGACACCTGAGATCGCGCCCGTGTTCTCAAGTAAACAACACACTCTCTCTCTCTCTCTCTCTCTCATTGCAGGAGTGGGTATGGCCTCCTTGAGTTTACCGTTTTAATTGGTTGGAGACTGAGGACCTCCCTTGTTATAGTCCTTTTATGAAAGATTTTTTGAATTATTTTTGTTTTTTAATGGATTGGGGAATACGTGCTGATCCAGTGCTGTGGTCATGATCTTTGAGACCTGATTTCTCTTTGATGAGAACTTACCTTGTGACTGAGTACCTCTGTTTTCTCTTTGCTATTTTCCGTGCCTTTTCTTGAGGTATCGTGTTTCTTAAATGTCATTTTTATTCAACAAGACGTAAACTGGGAGTAGCACGATTTGATTTTTCTAAAAAACAAAAAAATCCTCAGTCTATTCTAACTTATTAATATTTCTTAATATTCATATATTTTCTTTGGTTTAAGATTTTGTTCCCTTATTTTTTTGCCAGAGGAATTTGGAATTTTGTTAATGAATGACAAGATGCACTAGGCTCTCAGCATTTTTCACAAATTGATGGAAACGCATTTGCCTAGAAAGCATTGTTTGACTAATCCATGCTTTTTTTTATTGTTTATTGGTTTGACTTTGGTTTTTTTTATTTAAGAATGATAAATTCTATGGATGTTTATTTATTGGCGATGAAATTGTATGGATGTTTATTTTCAACGACCACCAAGAGCCGCTCAAAAAAGCGACACTACAGTCAAAATTAACTCAAATAAGAGGGGTCTAAATTAACACCAAAATTGGAGTTGATCCAAATCCCGATCCAAAATCAAATCCAAATCTTAAATATAGTTTTGGATTCAAATTTGGATCTGATTCTTTTGGAACTGACCAAAGCCAAATTTGATTTTTACTATTTGGTTCCGAATCTAAATAAGAGGGTATAAGACCTGATCCAAAAAATTTTCAACCCCATATGAAATCGTATACTATAAGACTTTTTACTTTCAATACAAAGACATCACTATCACTTTTAACAATTGAATATGTAATCCAATAGATTCAAATGTCATAAATCATAATAAAAAAAATTTACTTTAAACTTTGTACCCAAACAATGACATCTTCAACCACTCAATTTCAAATCTAACGGCATGGATCTCATTGTATACATTTCCATATTATATAACCTTCCTATTTGCATAAAATGTTAAATGGCATCGAGGTTAAGTGGTTGCGGCAAGTTTCGGGTTCGATCCTCGATGAAGATACCTTACCAGATTTCGCACTTCACATTACCACTCGTGTTTGTACTTCCTCGGTCACATTACCACTCGTGTGGCTTCCTCAAAAAATAAAATATACTAATTTTCAATTAACATTGATTTTTTTCCTCTGCTACGTAAACCGTCAATGAAAAAATAAAGAAAAAGATATCCCCTGACAAGTTAATGAGAAATTACAATAGCAACCCTCTCCTCCACACGTTTGTGAACTTGCAGGTAAATAACCTAATGAGAATGCTAGTGTGAGATTCTCCATCAGCTATGACAAATGCGTGCGTGTGTGTGAGAAAGCGAGAGAGCCCAGGGAACGGGTGGGCAGGGCAACCTTGTCCAAAACGAGTGGAGAAATCACTACCTAAAACCAGTCAAAAACAGGTATTTCATCGCTCAATTGAAGCAGAAATCAAAAACCCAAACCTATCCTTTGTTACTTCTATTTTCGGGGTTATTGTCTATAAAAAATGTTAAGATGTCACCATTTTGCGATCTATACAGACCGAAAAATGGAACTTAGATGGTATTCCCTCCAACAACTGTAACTTCCCAATTAACCAAGATCTAAAATCACTGCTGAAATAGGAAGAAATACCAATCACACCAAAAGTCTAAGATTGATCACTATTACCACTCAATTAAATTAATATAACAGTCCAAGTCATTTCCGGGTAAGTGATTTATATAAGAAACAGAAAGATCCATCAATTTCTGTTTAGCGCATGAAAACAGCAGTGAGATCAGAATTTATTCATACCTCGAAACTACAAACTCAAACATTAGACTCTGCAACTGTGCTCCTGCAGAAGATTTTATGCACATCAAAGCCAACTCAAGCAGATTTCTTCACTGTGGCAGATTTGATAATGTCCACGAATTCCGGCTGTACCAAATTCAGGAAACAAAATTATCCTTTGTGAGAGAGAGAAAGAGATCATGAAGGGAGAAATCAGTGAGAGAAGGGCCTTTCGGAGCAATGTCTGAATTTGTGAGAGAGAGAGACCAGCCTTTCAAGTTTCGAAAGATAAATGCCTACTTGTCTTGTTTAGGTGGAATGGAGATACTCATAAAAGGGATAAATATAAAATGATGAGCATGTGCTATTCGATAGAAATTAGTAAACCAGCATAAATTTTCAAGAAATTTACAAAATAATATACATTGTAGACTGCAATATTACAAAGGATCAGCAAAACCACCTTGCCAGCAAGGATTACGCATCATTCATTAAATATGTCAGTGTTTTTCCCAATAATTTGTCTAAAAGTAATGTTATTCATGTAATATTTTCAATGGATTGTCTACAAAGAGACCATTTATCTTTTATTACAAGGTCATAATTATTCCCACTCATTAGATGTCAAATTGGATGGCTTGGGATAAGTCAGTCCCAGATTTTTTTTTGGAATTTTGTGTCTAATCAATGACACACTCTTACAACAACCCATTTTGAAATCTAAACGACAAAAATGATTGTGACCTTCTTGTACAAAAGGTAAATAATAGTTTCTTTATAAACAATCCCTATTTTCAATCAATCTCACCTAGCCAACAAAAAATATTTCAAGTGTTTCCATACAAAATTCATAACATGCCTGGCCAGGGACACATATACAATTCTTCCAGAAAAAATTGGGGTGACCCCCCAGAACACAACCAGAATTCAAAAACGAAGAGAGCCTACAGTATTCAGTAGAATATGGGGAATCCCCAGTTAGTCTGTGAGGACATATATCCATTATCCATTTGATGTGGCTATTGTATTCTAGGAAAATTAAACATTTTGGACTTTTGCTAAATAAAAAATCTATTTCCATATTTACAAAGGAGTGATCTCTTGATTTTAAGAAAAAAAAGTTACTAACACTTCAGTAAGAGAAAATGGGGTCCTGTAAATCAGTGAGCCTCAACAAACCTTTAAGGAAGCTCCACCAACTAAAAATCCATCAATATCAAGCTGTTTCGCCAGTTCCTTGCAGTTTGCACCATTCACAGAGCCTGCAAGAATCATCTCGGTTACAACATTCTGAAGACTTTAAGAGTATTATGGCAGTGCCAATCAAGCCAAACACAGAGCCTGCAAGAATCATCTCGGTTACAACATTCTGAAGACTTTGGGTATTATGGCAGTGCCAATTAAGCCATAGCACTAGCAGAACAAGCCAGGATACTCGAGCATCAATTTTTATGTCAAAACCCTTAAATTAAGACTGTCCCAGATGTTTGGTGTTGCCATGGTAGTTTTGGCTCATAATGCCCCATGGAAAGACTTCAAAGTACATAACAATTAATTTCTTGGCTTTTTCAGTACTTATTAGCAGAACCAATTCTCGCATTTTCTAAATAATTTAGTTTATAAATACAGCTTTTATGATTGCTAACAAATAGTTTATCATATTTCTTTATTTTTGAATTTTAATAAGGAAAATTGTTTCATGCGGGCTGGACCGCATTCCTATAATATGTTGTCCGGAGGTATAAAGTATCCATCTTAAAGATGGATGCAAATAGGTGGTCCACCTAAAAACAAGTGTAACTAATGGGCCAAATGTTTTCTTAATAGAATTAGTATTTCTAGTTTTCAATTTATTTATTTTTTTCATATTCAAGATCTCCATGTTAAAGATTCTATATTCTCTAAAAACTATGATCAAATTATATTTAAAAAATATATTTATTGCCAAGCCCACATTTATACAATATGCGGTTGGCCGCATAGAAACCATGTCCTTATAATAACTCACTGGTTTATACAAAATGAATAAATCAATCATGAATTAACATACCTTGACTAGGCAGTAGATGTCGAGACATGCATTTTATAATTGATACCAATGTTTTAAAAATCGCCAGGTTGGATCGGAATTGCCCGATCCAACCGGGAATCGTTGGAGACAGGAACAACGCGGCCCTTTGACAAAAGCCAATTCTCTTACCAAAACTGAGCAGTTCTATTAGAGAACTGTTCCCTTTTTTATTTTAAATTATCTTTATTTTTTATTTTATCTTGGCCGATTCCCTCAGCTGGATCGCCGATACGGATCAGCAATTCGCTGATCCGGACTGGTTTCTTGAATGGCTACTACATTCAACTGTTCCAGGTTTTCAAACATTGATTGATAGATTTTGCAACATGCTTAATGCATTACAGACTTATCCTTTTTTGTAGGAAATGAAATAAAAAATAATACCCAGTTAATAAATAAAACATAAGGTTCAGATTTCAAAATTCAATAGGAAATGGGAGCTAAATAATAAACTTAAGTCTTAGATTTCAAACCATTACATTGATATTTTTAAAATTCAATTGGTAGAAAAACTCTATTCTAACCAGTGGCTGCTTTTCATAAATTTTTTCTCAGTTTTTTTACTTCAGTTTTACTTGTGCACTAAAGACTCTGAGTTTAGGCTTCGACTAGCCTTTGTTTTATTAAAGTACACATTGTAATCTTTATCAGTTTAGTTTAGTGGTGGTTTCTCCATTAAAATCTGGTTCATGGTAGATGCCTTTCAATAAAACTAGCAAAATGCACGTGCTTTGCATATGTGTTCTAGAAGCAAAATGCACTATAGAAATCATAAGGTCTGGAGCATTGATTTTCCTAAATAAAAGCATGGGTTGAGAGAAAATAAAGATCATCTTACCTTATAGTAGACCTCTCTTGTTGATTTATCATGAATCTAGATTCACCAGTTGCCTCCTTTTCAAATTTTACCATCAGCTTCTCTTTTTAGTAGGCTCCTCTCTACTGGTTTTAGTCCATTTAATTCTCTTGCATCTCTTTTTCTCTCTTCTCACACCCCATAAACTTTTTAGTGGTAAAAATCTCATTTCTATCCCTCCCAAATTCTTACACTCTCTCTCTCTCTCTCTCTCTCTCTCTCTCTCTCTCTCTCTACTACTATACTATACTACTACTACTACTCTACCTCTCTACTCTCTCTCTACTCTCTACTACTACTACTCTCTACTACTCTCTCTACTCTCTCTCTCTCCTCTCCTACTTCTCTACTCTCTCTCTCTCTCTCTCTCTCTCTCTCTCCATTTTTTTAAATATAAACATACTTTCTAAGTATATTTATACCTATTTTGCATTATAATTATAGGTTAGAAATATCAAAATAAGTATAATCCAAAATAGGTCTAAAATTCGTACCTATTTTGAATTATAATTATAGATATACTTATCAATTTAAACGCATTTATATTTATCGATAGATTTTTAAAACTATACTTGTAGAGCAAATTACTCTTAATATGATTTATATTTTAAGAGAAATTTTACCTTTTGTATATATATTTGTAGCTTTTTAAACAAATATTAGGAGATACTATAAATGCAAAAACTTACTAAACTGGATATGCTCTATTCAATCTGCACTACAAATTATTTTTTTATTAGATACTCCTTTTTAAGTAGTGATGCATTTTATTAAAGAAATAAAGGACTCAAGTGTCATTGTTTTAAAGAAAACAGTCATTTTGTAAAATTATGAAGTAATTGTTGTTACTTTTGCCACACGCATAATAAATGCTATAGTTCTTTTTTTGTCTTGGAAATTTGTATAACATGCTCTCACAGATCTAATATTTAGAAATCCACATTTAATCACAAAAAAAAACTTTTAGTACTAAAAATTATTATTTTCATTTGAAATAGAATATACTTGAGGGAACACAACTCACTTGATAGTTGTATGTGTACTTGTTATATGCTTCTGGCACGTCACAAGTAATAACTGCTATAGTTTTTTTTTCTTTGGAAATTTGCGCTATAGTTTTTTTTTCTTTGAAAATTTGCATAACATGCTCCTTTAAGAACATACTATACAATTACTCTATCAGAAATCAATGAGTATTTTTGATATCTAATATTTACAAATCTGCTTTTAATCACAGATTAAACTTTGAGCACAAAAACATAAAATTTTTATTTTCTAAAAATTCTCTATATTTTTTCAATTCAAATAGCATATACCCAAGAGAACACAATTCATTTGATAGTTGTATGTACACTTATTATATGGTTCGTATGATACTTTACCATACTTATTATTTATCCGAACGAATATCCAAAACCAATTTCTTGCATGCCACGTGTTGTCCAAACCAAGGGGCATTTTATATAGAGAAGATTTTGTAGTTGTAAGCATCAAACAGATACACGTGTCTAAAACACAGACACATATCCAACACAATTCAATATGCATGCATGTATGTATAGTTTATGATGTATTTTATTTTTATTTTGCATGTTTATATATCAAAGTAATTTTTGTGTGCATGCGTTATTCAACATTAATTTTCAGTTTTTACCAAAAAAGAAAGAAAAACACTAATAAGATTGTATGCATCAAAAAAGCTTAGGGCAAGCCAAAATAGTACTTGCAAATGACAACAAAAGTATATAATAAGGAAGTATAAAATGTTCTCTTGAAACTCTTATGGCATCATGCGGTATGTACCTCCATAAATTATCCTTGTTGATGCAGCAACAGCTGGACTAACATTGGCTTCAAGCCATTTCCTCAGTTCAAAATGCACCTGTATTAAGGAATAATTCTTCTAAGAATGCTTATCATGACGAATAGACTGCTGAATGAATATATCCTTCAGCAATCAGAGAGCTTATGAACTTATCATAACTGTTAGTACACGGTACTTCTGATTTTGTGAAAACTCCTGAATAGCATTTGGGATCCAGAATGTTCAGATGATCGTGAAGAATAAATGAAGAAGATAGTCATCCATACACAAGCTACCAATATTAAGAAACCAAGGACATGAATTAAACCATACCTCTTAGCATGTTGGCTTAACAGAGCACTAAAGCCTCTGTGTGTGTGTGTGTGTGTGTGTGTGTGATGTGTGCATGTTCACATGTAAACATGAACATCTATGTAGAGAGAGAGAGAGAGAGGGTTAGATGGACCTCTCTGTGTGTGTTCGCATGTAAACATAAACATGTATTTGTGAAGCGAGAGAGAAAGACAGAGAGAGAGAGAGACAGAGAGAGAGGGGGGATGGAGGGTTAAATGGACCTCCATCCCGAGTCAACAAACATGAGAAGATATGACCATTTTAATAGGTCAAGTACATAGGGCAGACGTTTTGTCTCAGGTTGTTCACAGGGTTGGGCTCGTGCAAGTAATTTTTAGGGTAATTAGCCCTGGGCCAGATCAGGCTATATATGGTGGTTGATTTATCCTGGTTGCTTGCACAGTAAAACCAGCTGACGCACCGATGTTTTCATTGACTTGCCATGCAATTCGCCAATTTTTTGATGGGCAACTAGTGAAGTTGCCAAGCCAGGTGGACTCAAGGAGAGTTGCAAATGGAAGTATGGGCTTCCAACTTTTAGAACCCTAATCCATAGGCACAACAGGTAGTCTTCTCAAACTCAAAATTCAGTCTTCCAACGTTTGAATCATTAGTTACGGACCACAGTTGCCGGGATCGCTACTTTGGTTGGTGATCCATTCTGGAAGCTCAATCCTACGATACCAGAAAGGGATCTAGTTTTTTAGAATCTTGGACCTCAATCACTTCAAGGGATCAAGCTCCATTCATCATGCGCTTGAGAACCATACTTCTATGGGATCTAGTTCCTGCATGTTAGGGTTCCCAGTCCTAAGAGTCGTGGGATCAAGATTCTAATACCTCGCAACACAAGGAACATACATATACTGCAGCCAGATTCCACCAATATGTGATTTTAATAGTACGGGATCCACCGTATCCTATAGTTCGTACCTACGCTCCATCAACAAGGGATCAAACTTCCGTCAAATCAGCTTCAAGTACCAGAAGCCAACTTATTAGCCAAATTATTATTATGAATATATATATATATATATATATATATATAGGAAAAAGCTATTGTCAACCTATGGACTGATGGAATAGTATAAGCCCAATAGCCCAGATTCAATCTGAGCCGATCCAATGATCACGATTGCATCTCATATTTCAATTCAATTTTTTTTTCTACAAATTCAAATCACTTGAAATTTGGAGCGTCTATTCTTTAAAAACATTAGAATCTAATAAAAATATCAAAAAAAATAATTCACAAAAATAAATTGACCAAAATACCTCTGAAAAGTTTCAGGGGTATTTTGGTCAAATTATTTTTTGCAAATTATTTTTTAAAGACTTTTATGAGATGCGACTTAATGAAAAAAGTGGGTGCCCCAAGTTTCATGTTATTTGGATTTATATAAAAAACACTAATATTATATTATGAAATGCAGTCGTGACCATTAGATCGGCCCAAATTCAATCTGGGCCGTTGGGCTTACACTATTCCAATAGCTGGTGG